GAATTGAAGAAAATCTCTGCTATTGCATTTTCCTAGGTATCACACTTTTTCTAAGAATTTACAATTATGCAAACCAAATGCCCTTTAAAGGGTATTTTGGTAATTTTACACCTTTCGAGGTGTGATTAAGGTTGCCAAAAATTATAAAATAATTTTAAACATGATCTGGAACATTTCATATAAAACTGACCTCGAGAATGTTAAATTATAAAAATACCCTTTAAGGGCATTTTAGTAATTTCATATTTTGAGGTGCGATCAATTATAAAACCATGAAATAATACACTAAAAATCATGAAATAATATAAATCATAATTTGAAATGTTTCGCAAAAAATTGATCTTTGAAATGTTAAATTACAAAAATACGTGTAAAGGTATTTTGTAATTTTACACCTTTTAAGGTGCAATCAAGGTTTTTGATGCATTAAAAGTCATAAAATAATATTTAAATGTGATCTAAGAGTTTTCACAAAAATTGAACTTCAAGAATATCAAATTACAAAAATATCCTTTAAGGGCATTTCGATATTTTATTATTCTCGAAATGCAACCAAAGTTTTCAGTGCATTAAAATCACAAATATTAATCCCAAGGCTTATTAACCCTATTTAGTTGTGAAGTTTGAAGATTGACTTAAGTTTTATCTTATTTGACTGATTTTGACTATATTTGACAAAGTTTGACTTTATTTGATCAAGTTTGACCAAATTTGATATTGAGACATTTGAGTTAATTCAATTCTAAAATTTGACTATGAAAACTTGTCAAAATTAAAGAAATATTGGATTTGAACTAGATCGAATTTTAAGAACCTCACAATTGATCAGATTTTGCTCGAACAAAATTAGATGTCTACATAGGTGATTACCCGAATAAAATTTTCAAACACTCATAATTCATTATAAATAAAGATCTCAAAAAATTGCAAAGGAAATATCTCATTGCACGAAAAAAATCTATTACAAAATTCATGAAGAATAGAGATCCTACATGAAGAATGAAAACTAATTTTGTAGTAAAAAAATGACTTACATGCAGCCTAACAACAATTTAAAAAATTGAAAGAAAATATCCAAAAAAAAAAAAGAAAGTTGACTCACTTTGCACATCAAGAACTAGATTAAATAGTGAAATTCTTAAATTTCAATGTTAAATTGAAGTGTAAACCATTCCTTTTTTGTTTTTCACCACAATGTTTGAAATTTTCAAACGAGCAAAAAAATATATATATAAAAGAAAGCTATAACCATCAATATTAAAACCAAGGTCTACGACAGTAGTGACAAAGTTATGGCCAGTGCCAACAAAACCGATGTTGACGACCATAGTAAGGTCAGTTCAAAATCCACAAAACAATATGTATGAAAAAATCGATCAAACATAAAATTGATACCTTCTATAAATTCACAACCTATAATTTGTAACTAAAATAAAAAAAACACATATTAAAAAAAAAAACCATGCATGAAAAAAAAATTGAACATGAAACTGATATCTAGAAAAACTCATCACTATAAAAAACCAATAATCTCGACGAACACATACAAACAAAACAATGCATGAACACCGAAACAATTAATCAAACAACACGCATACATATAAACAAAAATGTTAAAACAACAACAGCAAACCATTAACAAAGAAAAAGCCACCTAGAAAAATAAGCCAAAAAAATGAAAAAATCAAATAGAAGGAAAAAAATAGAAATGAACATGGATAAAGAAAACAAAGAAAATAACAAACACACTATATAATGTCAACAAAAAGAATAAAATCAACATTTATTTTTAAATTAACCATCTAATTATTTTTTAAGACATTGCTGATGTGGACATCAATGATAAATAGGGGACTGCTTTTATTATAAGTTATAGATATTATCTTATATTTGTAATAGAGACTGGGTTTTTGTATATTTATTAAGTCACTTATGTATTTCCAAACATAAAAAATGGTGTCTTCTTTTTTATTTTTAATTTAAAGCCTTATAATTTTTTTTTAGAAGAAATGTTGTTGTTTTCAAGGAAAAAAACTTTTTTTTTTGAGAGAAGATTTTTTAATATAAAAATGCATACATTAATTATTAAATTATAAATATTTAAGTGCATAATTTAATTTTTTTTAAATTAGAGAATGGACTTTCGAATTAGAATATATATATATATATATGTACTCACCCCTATAAAATAAAATATTAAAGCATATATATTTTATATTTAATATTGTCAAATTTTAAATTTTAATTATTAAAATTAAAAATTCAAGACTCTGCTAATAAATTACAACAACACTTATAATTTTGATTTCTAAAAAAAATACATTTATGAAATGCATTAATTTCTAAATTAAATTATTATATTAATGTAATTCTACTTTTTCAAATAGTTGGCATAACTTATAGAGAAAAAAAACATTACAAGCAACTTAAAAAAAAAGAACTTCAATGCTTTAATATCATAACTTCCCATTTGCTTTAAGGAAAAAAAAACCATTGTTTCATCTTCAATCATTGATAATTAATAAATATGAAAAGTCAATGCTATTGGCATTTTTTTTATTTTAAAAAAAGGACTTCAAAAAATTTTCAAACTCCTTTTAACAAAAAAATACATGTATTTATTATGTATAAACATATTTATTTTCAAAAACAGTTATAGAGAATAGTATTATGCTTGTGCCACGGGTCGAGACTCAACCTCCAAGCTCGTGAGGCTCTAGGACCTAGGCATGCACTCATTCGATATCTTAGATCAACCTACCTACCATGGTTCACACCTTTGTGAGATATTATTTACTTTGGTCCCTCCGGCCTTATAGTTTTATCCCACAAAAGGTATCTTATAAGAAAGAGGTGGTGTAAACCCTTTTATACTCTAATGACCCCTTTTTCGTGTTTGATATAGGATTAAAGTACCCTGCCTACTCCTTTTGGAGTGCTTGGCGTGACATGCTCCCCCACCCAACCTCATGACGCCTTTGTCACGGAGGCTAGCTACTCTGTCTACTTTTCTTGAGGCACTTGGCGTAGGTCGAATGGTCAAGGACCTATTCTGATACCAACTATCACGGCTCAAACTTAAGACTCAAAATCGGTGTGGCCTTAGGCTTAGAATCACCTCATTTTAGTCTAAGTCAGCCTAATACGCAAGTATGCAGGTACTAAAACAATTGGAAAGGTAGAATGTGCAAGTTTGAGAGAGCAAGAGAATTACTAAAATATGCACTGTATATTACTGAAGCAAAGTGTCTGATGATATACAAATAAAGGTAGGGCGACCCTCTATTTATAGTTGAAGCCATCAGTTTTATTTATGACTAGCTCTTAAAATCAAGGGATTATAATATCTTCTAAAAATCAGGGATTACACAGATTACATATTAAAATAGAAGGCTTCTCCTGATTTTCAGGATCAATCAGATTCTTCTGGAGGCTCCTATCGATCCTGGCTTTTTTTGAAAGATTTTGGATCGGTTCTACTCCCTTGGGCCCTTTTAGGTGCAGTGCTAACATCTTATGGGCCTGGCCTTAGCTATATGGGTAGGCCTGTATGCTATGCAGAGGGTCTGGACTCCTCTCCAAAGACTAATACGCAAACACCCACCAATGTCCTTGGTGTTTGAGCCTTAACCTCGGGTGCTCCGGCTTGTGCGACTAGTGTGCCCACCTAAGGTATGACACTTGCACTATGCATGGATTTGATTATTTCGAAGAATTTTAAAATAAAATATTTTAATATTACACATTAACATTTATTATCTAGAATTTGTTTATATAATGTGTTTATATAATGATTTTAAGTTTGTCTTAAATCCGAGTTATTTATCCAAATTCAAATATTATTGAACCAACTTTTTATCTCATGAAATGCGACAAATTTGTTAGTAAATGTAAGGATAAGATTTACTAATTCATAAATAGATTAATTACTTATAAATAAATAAAACTTTAAATTCTTACCATATCATGTGAGAAAATTGGTTGGGACAAAAATGTTAACATTGAATAATTATTTCATAAGATCTAGTATATATTATTATATTACATAATTGATTCTATAAACTGATTATTTAATGTCAATAAATATTATTTTCACTTAAATTTTGATACACTAGTTTGTTTCTAAAAGTTAGGTACATGGTCACAATTATTATTTTTTGTATATTCAACTGTGAATTTTTTTAAATTTTTTTGAATGATTATATCATCATTAATAACAAATAGCATAGTACTATTTTTTAAATAATGCTCAAAACTAATATAATTTAAGAGAAAAGTTGTAAATTTGAATCTGATTTACCGGATGATATTTACAGAATATTTATTTAAAATCAATTTTAATTAAAAAATTTTGATATATAATTTTTATTTTTCTTTCTTTTTCCCTTTCATTACTCTCTTTTTTGCCTTCATTTCCTCTTCCCCAGCAGCGACACATATGGTCATATTCGTAGGCTTCGTGGCTTGGAGTCCTTCCTCAAAACAACTACTATCCTAGGTAAGTTTTTGTTTTTGTTTTTTTAATTTGATTAAATTATTAAAAATATTTCTGAATTATTTATTTTTTAAAATAAATTTTTTTGTTATATCTAAATAAACTCTTACTTTTTTTATTTATAAGTAAATAAACTTGCATTTGAATTTCAAACAAAAAATTGATTTATATTAAAGATTTATTTAGATATAAATTAAAGTTTAAATATTTATTTGAATACAAATTAAAAGTCAAAAATTAATTTAGGTGTAAATTAAAAGTTAAATTTTTATTTGGATGTAATAAAAATATAAAAACTTAATTCAATAAAATAATAAAGTTCAAAATTTTTTATTATTATTTTAACCTTTTAATTTTGAAGGAATAATAATTCTTTGAGTAAAAGAGGGATGAAGATAGATATCATCATCCAATAAACAGAGTGAAAGATGAATTGCAAGCCGGATAAATTTTTTTTTTCAAGGGAAAAAAAAACACGTCATTGAAAGGAGGATCAACACAGAGTGCTTCTGACAGACACCGAATCTCAAGCTGTAGATAGGACTTCCTCTGTGAAATATGAGGGCATTCCTCCAAAGTCCAAAGCAGTTGTACCAGCTACTTCTTTCATTAAAAAGAAAAAAAAAAGTCTGTAACATCCAAGCAATTTACACACAGAAACCTCTGCATGAAGATGCCAACATGCTCATTCACTGAAAAAAAACAAAATAGTTTCTGGGAGTCTCATGTAGCTAATCGACGCATGTTCTTTTCATTTTTCTCTTTAATTTCTAAGAAATAAGTTTCCTTGTTCATGGAAAAGTCATTTGGTTCTCAAAAGTACAACTTGTGAAAGCGAAAATGGTAAATAGCTTTCAGTATTTGACGTTACAATTTGGTGAAGAATCGTGAAAATAGCAAAGGATATCTGATAGTCACGCTTTCCATTGGTGAACTTTTTAGCAGGACCAAGTCACAAATAGACTAATAACAGGAACATAACATGGCACCAACTTTTTCTTTTGATTTCTTTTTTCAGGGAATAAGTAAATACACTTGTTCAAATGGTAGAGAAGACAATCAGAAAATCTACCTAAATCTTGAGCTGACGTCTTTGTCTTTCAACGTAAAGCACGCGATGATACGCTAGAAATATATCACTTTAGCACGGGGTAACAGCAACGTAAGGTCTTAGCTGTAAGAAAATAACAATACATCTCTAGAAATTTGTTCATATAACCTTGATGCTAGCATTCCTTTGAACCTTCAAGCAAATGGATTTACCTACAATGTGATTATATTTATATCACAAGCATAATCAATGAATAATAGATGCGGATGTGTCTCATGGTGTTTATTCTGCTCCTACATGCATGCATGGTTGCGTCTCCTGGTGCATGTGTGAGAGGAGACAGACAAGTAAATTCTGTTCCTTTTCGAATCAATCGAATATCTTTTAAAAGGCAACAGACAAATTTATCCCATCACCTGGATTTCCAAGTAGATAAAAAGTGATAAATGTAGAGCCATCAGTCCTAAGCTTTATTTTATCATCATTTCAATCAAAGGATGAAATGTGCTATTTACCAGATTGAAACCACCAAATTACCAAAACGTAGAAAGAATTACAAACTGATGCAATAATAATCTCTACCCTTCAGTTTTATTCCTTTAACAACTTGAACTTTGGATCCCCCAACATAGCCCAATTTCAAATATTAAATTGGTGCATTTTGTATAAAATTAAATGTGAAATAGAAGTACAACCATACTCTCTATGAGGTTGACATATTCGTATAGAGGAGAGTGAAGAAGAGCCCAACTTCTGGAATACTTTGTATGATTTGGATAAACTGGTTTTTGCTTGGTTCGTCAAGCAAAGTCGGACAAATTTGTGTAATTAGTGGCAAAAGTCTAGCTAAAGGCATCCCCAATGTTGGTCTGCCAACTCTAGATTGAAAGCCCTTCTCCTCCACCAGCGCATTCACCACTGCTTTTAATGATATCTCAACAACACTATCAAATTCGGCACTGCAAGGTAAAAGGAAAAAGAATCAAAGAAAAATTCGGCACCGCACAAAGTTGTCTGCATGAGATTAAGATTTGACACTGTCTACATGAACACAACATCTACAAGCGAGAAGGAAAAAATCATGATGAGGTTCCAGTTTAATGAGTTCACAATAGAAGAAGAAAAATAGGATGATAGGAGAGTCATGAAAAATCTCAAGTAGATGCAACAAAATATATGCTTTGGGGGTAGTCATCACCCATCTTCATTCTGAGACCATTAGGCATTTCTGACTTTGTTGTGATGCTTAGTATATTCTAGGTGATCTAGACAACAATGATTCACATTTAGGCTGCCGCTTATTTTTTTTATTGTAATCTTCTCACCTTGAGCAAGTGCTTTGGTTATTAAAACCTGTGTTCTATTGGCTAGTTAACCTTTTATTCTCACCCTTTAAAAAACTAAGGTTCTTTTGATAGACGTCAAGAGAGGTAAAAAGAAAGGAAGGGAGTGGTGCCCTCCCCTTATGACTAGTGGGGAAAACATTTTAATGGAAATGAAGGATTTGGAGGGATACATGAGCCCCTCCAAAACTCTAACTTATTAAAAACTTCCTAATTGGGAGGTTTTATAAGGCAAGGGTTCCTGTTTAAAAGTCTTTTACTTTTCAGGAAAAGTTAATTCATATTTTAACATTTTGTTTGAACTCACAAAGGATAACTGCACAAGAACAGGAAAAAAAAAAGCAATCATCTCCTTCTCTTCCTATCTTTTTCCTTTCCTTTTTTTAAGAAATCCAAACAAGGGGGAACTTTTCCCTCTCATTCTCATTTCCTAATCCTTAGTTATTTCCTGGTTTTTTATATGAATGATATGTTCTGATTCACTGGTCACTTATCCCTAAGAACCCCAGATGAGAAGCTTTAAGTTTACCAATTGTGGTTTGAAGCCTTCCTACATATAGCTAGGCTGGCAAAGTTGACCTAAACCCGAAAAATCTGCTCAACATGTCCAAACCCAAATGACCCCAAAGATTAATCCAAAATTACCCAAATTTAAATTGATTTGACTTCAAAACTCAATAATTTGGATCCAGAACCCAATTCGAAATGACCCAAACTTGAAAAGACCTATTACAACCCAACCCATGCAATTACCATAACTACTTGTAGTGTTACTTAACAAGGCCCTATATTCTCTTGAAAGTTTCATAATGCAGGTGGCACTTCATGGCTGCATATTCTAGGTCACATAAACAATCATTATCCCAATGGTACCCCTAAATCGCTGCATGCCCCCAAGCTAGAAAATTAACCCCCACCCCAGTCCCAAAAATAAGAGTAAATTAAAAAATAGAAAGGAAAAACCTAGAAAAGAAAATTAATGGCGGTTATCTAAGGCTTGAGCATTTCCAAACAATGCTTAAACATATAATTATCAAATAAGAATGGTTGGCATTAAAGCCCTTGTTGCAATGCAATGAAGCCATGTAATTGACAACAGACCATCCCTTGTTAAATTCTAATACTCATAAATTGTTAAAGAGGAAGCACAATAAAACAACATTTCTTGGGCCAATGTACTAATGATACCTTGAAAGCACTTCTCGTGTCTCAACCATAAGTTGATCAAATTGTGTAAACTCAGAAGGATTTGTTTTGTCACTGCTGGATGTTGGGGCAAGCTTGTACAACCTTGGGTCCTCAGGCATCAAGCAGTCCACCCAGAAACGAGGACTTCCCATGCTCATGAACATGTCAAGTATCTGCATGATAGTTTGATGAAGTACTCTACTATCAAAGAAGTCCCTCAACTGCTTCCTGCAAGAAAGTACCCAAATCCCAAGCCATGTGATGGGACCTTAATATTTATCCAATGTTCTTGATACTCTAAGATAATACTCACAAAGCATTCCAGTCTATCTATATTGGGAACCAAAAAAAGAAGTTCCAAAACAGCATCTTCTTAATCTTGAAGTAAAAGCCTATATAGATTGTCTATCAGTTACTTCTGCCATTAGCAGGGTTGAGGATGTTTGCCCAAAGGATTGTTCTGATGTATCTTTCACTTTCAAATCTTGCCCTCCAACTATTTTGATATATATGTTTCGACAATCTAAGGATGTGTTTAGTACATAAGATTATGATAGGATAAGATGATATTATGAATAGAATTAGATTAAATAATGTCATCCTATCTTGTGTTTGATGCGTGCAAGGATTAAGATAGGATAATTTATTTATTTGTCAAAATCATCCTTCCTCAAAGTTTACACAATTTAAATTATTGATGTAATCTTTAAAGGTATAATAGGACATGTAAGTTCAATCCTATGGATTAAAAATAATCTTCTCCACTTTAGGAGGATTGAATCATCCTATACCAAGAGGATGATTAATCCTAAGTGTAATCTTTTCCCTTTCTTTAGACACAAACCAAACATGATATAAGATGATTATCATTTTATCCTATCCATCATCCTATGCACCAAACATGACCTAAATATCCAAAAGGCAGACCTAATTACCCTTAGTGTAAAGGGGTAATGAGGTCAAAACTAAGGCTAGACTACATAATCTGAAGAGTGTTGAAATAATATTAGAAATCCATTATTTCAAGGACATTAGGTTTGGCCAGTGATTAAATTTTGGGAGTAGGAAGCATCAGACACGTGCCATGATAGTCATTGTCATCATCTTTTAAGTTCTTAGAATGCCCTATCACTTCATTTTAACCTCATTATTTTACATCATAGTCTATTCTTTCTTGATTAAGAGAAGAACTGCCAAAGGATTACTCCATCATTGGAAGATCAAATTGACAGATCAGACACAATCTGAAATTGGACATATTGAAAATCTTCACCTCAATCAAGCCCTAACCTAAAAACCAATTTGGATCGCTATATAAATTATTTTCCTCCATTATACCCATTCTATGGCTATGTTTTCTGGAAATTATTTACATACCCAGTCCTACTCTAGCTACTTACTTCAACTCATGTAATTTATGGCCAACCTGTAAGAAAATGCTAATTCCAAGAATAATAAACCTAAAGAAAAAGCTAAAGAATTGGAAAACCACTCACGCCTTAAGAACTTCTGTCACTGCTATCTGCATATTGGAAAGCAATGTTGGCAAGCCATAATTGGCAAGAAAGTCAGCACTTGCCAGAAATTTTTGCTGTTCCTCTCTGTCAATGAGATCAGCATCCTCCTGCATGAAAGAGATGAAGACCATGTTTTGAGAACAAGACAGATAAGGATACCTGAATGAGTGCTAAGAGAGAATTATGGGCCAAAAATATAACAGATCTAATGAGAGTAATTGACAATGAGACCATTCAGTGATACCACTAATGAGATTATGGCCTAAACCATAGAAAAGTAATGAACACTAAATATCACATAACAATGTGGTGGCCAAAAAAAAAAGTCAGATAACAATGAAAATAACAAAAAAAAAATTGAAAAGAAAAAGGAAATTGTGATGTAGCCAAGATGCTCATGTGGACTACAAGCATGGACAGTTTAATCCACAAAAATTGCAACTCTTGGTTAATGCATATTCCGAGAACTATTTATTTATATGGTTGACACTACAGCTAGAGAGTCAGCAGCTAGCATCAGTTGACATAGTCATTACTACCTTAATATTTTAACAGCCAATGCAACTGATTCCTACTGGCTTCTTAGATCCAGGATTATACAAAAATTAAACTTCTCATTTAGCACCCAAATAGGCATCAAATTCAGTTCAGTCCACAATAATAATTATAAGTACTAAATTCTTACTGAAAATTTTCTTCATGAGTTTATTCAATAATTTGAAGATATTGTGCTGTGCCGTCTTGATCCCTTTTCATTTGTCATTTTCTCTGTTGATAGTTATGTCATTCAATCTATATGGATCAGTTTTGGTGTTTTTAGGCTTAAGAAGCCACTATATAGGTGAATAACACTAATAGTTCAGGTCATCTAAGTAGCCTTCTATAGCACAACACTGCATCAACATCAAACTCTATAGGATCAATGTTAAGGGTTCAGATAAGCATCCCGTTAGTAACATACATAAAATCATGACTCTATCATGGATTTTGTATTTGACAAGGGCCAATTTTGTATATGTCAATGAAAGAAACTCACTTATTAAACCAAAATTAAAATTTAAAACCTGAAAGGAAAGGCAAGCCACCAGAACAACACCTTGTTTTTTGGTAATAAAAAGGAGTGCACTAAACTCTTAAAAAGGACAATCAATAAAACCTAAAAAATAGAACCCTATAAGCTCCCAAAACAAAGAGGCACACCCACAAACAGGGGTATAAATTAATACACTTTATGTAACAGACATGCACACATGCAAACACAAACAAATATCTTTAAAGCCAAGTTCCGAATAATGAATAGTTCACATGACATATTATGATTGCACACCACTTTCTACATCTGAGAGGTATGAGTTGGGTTCACCCAAATTTACTTAAGTTCTTTCAAAGCCCTGGAACCCCTCCCCCTCAAATCCCTGTAACTTTAACCACCACATGAGGGATTTTAACATATTTAAACCATATCAACAACCATTTTCAAAAATAGAAGCCCAAGTCTTATATTATTCCACCTCGGTAAACCAGCTTACTCAAAACGATAGTACAAAATACCCTCTGTTACTCACAGTAGAGGCACCTAAAATGAAATTTGGAAGATATGCCAACTATAATCATTAGCAGAGTAAATTTAGACTAAAATAATACTCTCAGAAATTTCAGCAAATGGAGAGGTAAAAACTGAAGTCAATACAGTTTTGCAAATCATCTGTAGGTAATAGTAGATGAATTGAACATATTATCAGGCATTATGGATAAAAATATAGTGCTCTTACAAGTAAATGAGAGCTTCCAAGACCACGTGCAGTATCAATATATAAATGTCTTCCTAGAATGTTGACTTGAACTCTAATATATAAGCTAAGCATTGTTACTGCCCATATTGACACCACCATTCTTGTAAAACCTGGAAAAAAAAACATATCAAATATCAATTATTAAACACCAACAAGCATAAGAAACTTGCAAATGCTAATATCCAGAACACCAAAACACTAAGAAACCAAAAGATAACAGCTTCATACTTAAAATTTTGAGCCTATCCCATAACTCAAGTTTCTCTGAAGAAGACAAACTGTTGGGCTGACCCTTCCCTTTCGTCAGTCTCTCAGTAAGATGTGAAAGGTCCAAATCTTCAGCTATCCGACAGCTTAAATAGTGCATTGAATGGGGCAATGTTGTCGTATCAGCTATTCTTTGAATGTTTTCAAAATGGACTTGCATTCTATCAAAAGTTACAAAACCAAAAAATATAAGAACCAAAACAGTGAACTGTTCCACAAAGATCATAATAGTTTTGATCGCTCTTACCGGGCTTTAATGAATTCATCATTTTCCCGCTCGCTTGCAAGTTGTCTTTCCAAATCAGTAAGCCTACGTTTGTGAGCATCATATAGTTTATACAAAAAGTACCCACTTCCTAAAACACCTGCTGTAACCAAAACCTTCCTCCTATGCCTTCTCCAAAGATTCCTATATTGATGAAAATGTACTAATTTATTAGCAAGCAATTGAAGCACTAAAAGAAATGTTAAAAAATGTCATAAATCCACTATTAAAACTAAAGCGAAGCAAAGTATAAACTAGCAATTAAATGACAACAACAGAAAGTTGGCTATTAACATTTCCAAAGCATAATAACAGCCAATGCAACTGACCCAAAAGTAAAAACATGCAATTGAAGCACAAAAAAAGTTGTGTCTCACAAAACCCACAGATAAAATCAACAAAAGCAAACAATTAGAGAAAAAAACTGACCTTAGATAGAGCATATTTGGTGCTATAGAAGCCAAACATCCATTTGGAGTTAAGCAAAGATAAAGGGGGAAAAAGAAAAAGAAACCCTTCAGTTCAGTGTATATATGAGAAACAAGGATAATCTTCAAAGACTTAAGAAAAAACAAAATCTTGTTGCTAAAGGGTGACAGAAAAAGGCAGGCAGAGAAAGAGCCTCCCTTAAAACATAAGAAAAATGAAAAATTTGCTTCAGTTCCTTGACCAGGGTAGGGTTTATGAGAGAAGAGGTAAGGAAGCTTCTCAATAAAAATAGAAGCTATGCCTAAAGTTCGCTGTTACCGTCTGATCTTTTGTTCGTTTGCCCTTTTTCTATGGCTTTTCTCTGATTTATTCTGAAAGAAAGGAAATAGTGCATTTGATTAGGTGCAGTTTGTCTAGTTTCCAGAATTGCTATTACCAGAGATTTTCTTCGTATTGGAAAATTTTTGAGTAAAACACATCAAGATCTTTGAATTTTAATTATAGTTTAATTTGGATTTATTAAGTTAAAAAAATAGACATTTTGTTTCAAAACTTTTTAATTAATAGAATATTAAAATTTTTTTATCATCTAAGTCTATTAAAATACTCATTAAAAAATTATTTTACTTTTAAAAAATCAATATTCTTAAATGCTCACATAAAATAATTATTTATGATAATAATTTTTTTTAAATGTAAAAAAATATTAATAATATATAAAAAATTTAAGGGTAATATATAAAAATAAAATTAAAAATTATAAAAAATGTTATAATAAAAACGTATAATAAAAAAAATATTTGGTTGAAAAAATATTATTTATAATTATGAATTAGAATACAAAAATGTTATAAGAAGAATATGTAACATATAATAAGCAAATATTTACACAAAATAATTATTTATAATAATATTTTTTAAAAAATATATAAAAAAGATTTTTAAGTGCAATACATAAAAATAAAATTCAAAATTATAATAAAAATTTTTATAATAAGAACATATAAGATATAATAAGAAAAAATATTTTGTTAAAAAATGTTATTTATAATTGTGAATTTTATTTTTTTACATTGCGCCTATAAGAACATGTAAATATAATAAGAAAATACTCACATAAAATAATTAGTTATAATAATAATTTTTTCTTAAAATATATAAAATATATTAATAATATATAAAAAATATTTAGGTGCAATATATAAAAATAAAATTCAAAGTTATAATAAGAAAAAATGTTATAATAAGAACATGTAACATATAATAAGAAAAAGTATTTGATTGAAAAAAATGTTATTTATGATTGTGAATGTTGTTTTTATATTTTGCACTTAAAATTTTTTTATATATTATTAATATATGTTATATATTTTAAGGCAAAAATTATTATTATAAATAATTATTTTATATAAATATTTGAAGATATTAATTTTTTAGGGATAAAATGATCTTTTAATAAATATTTTAAAAGAGTTAATTAACAAAAAGACCTTAGTATCCTATTAATTGAAAACTTTTGAAGGGAGATATTCATTTTTCAAGGACCTAAATTAAATAATATTTAAAACTTAAGGACTTAGAAACAGTTTACCCAAAATTTTTTATCATGTTTTCTTGGTTTAATGCTATTTTTTTTTCCAGCAGATCACAAAGAATTTCATTATGTTTGTCAAGACAATTTAAAATTAAAAAAAGGTAAATATATATAACTCAACTATAAACCTATAAATCAAAATAAAAAATAAATTCAATATAAATTAAACTTTTACCAAAACAACTTTATATATCTACACATCAAACTTAAAATTAAAATACTTGATACACTTTCGTGCCAAAGTTATTCTAAGTACACATGTTATTATATTAATACTTGTAGTTAACTTTAGTTTTAGGAAAATGAAAAAAAAAATTCAACAATGGAGATTTTTATAATTTTTTTATTATTTATTTACGTAATATACTAACTAATCTAATTAATTTTAAATTAACAAAAAATAATAATATGAAAAATTAAATATAATTAGTATGAATTATACATCATAAATAAAACATTACTTTTTATTTTAGGTTTTTTTTTTTATTTAGCGACAATAAATTTTTGAGTTTTTTGTAGTAATTTTTTTTATCGATTCAATTGGCTTATTTATGCTAAACTTAGTGAATTAATATAAAATTACTTTCCATAACCTTTTAACGAATTCGAACCTAGGGAGCAAAGAGAGAAGCACAATATCTTTATTGAAAGCATAATCCAAGATTAATATTTGAATATTAGAACTTTAATCAATCAATTACTATTTGGGCATTCATAAATGACAAGCAGAAACAACATCGATCTTGAAAAGATTAGGTTTTCCTTTTCATTTTTCTCTTACGATGATTTTTAATGGATAAATACTGTTAATTAAAAGTAAAAAATTGACTTTAGCCAATTTTATTAAAATTCTAGAAGCCTCCTACCAAAGACTTACCCGGCTCAAGGCTTATACAATTGTCAAAACGCACTAATTCAAGAAAATGCTTAAAGTCTATACATAAGTGATCACTATTAAATTATTTAGGCTCTCATGCATGTTTCGTATTAAAATTAAAATTTTCAACATATTTTATTAAACATTAAAATCACCAATTAATAGTAGCTTACTTATTTAAAAATTCTAACATTTTTCTGGTTGAGTAATATTAATTGGGTTGTTTAATTTTAAGAAAATATAATTTAGAAAACAGGATTCCAAACTAATTAAATTTACTTTGATATGACTACAATTTTAAAAAATAGTTTAACCGTTAAGACAATATTTTAATGATCCTGTCTAATAAAACAATCTAATGCCATATCATGGTAGTCTTTATGTCTTTTATTGACACAAGATCAATCCATGGTTGTAAGCACTAAAAACTATTAGCAATGGATCTCAGTATGACTATATAGCAAGAAATTAACACCTAAATATGATTTTCCATATGTTATTTTTATTATTAGTCATCTTGTCGATTTCTCTAAACTTATTGAGAAATCTCCATGGCACCTAAATGTCTTGTATGTCTCATCTTTGTTCTCAAGGTTATTTGTTGGTATCACTTATAAGACATACCTAAATTATATTAAAGTCGTACTTAAGATAGATATAAAGTCTTAACATTTTATGATGTGAGATGTGCACATGCAATTAGATATATACATAAATAACAACTATTATGAATATATAAAATAATTATGTCTATTTAACTTGATGGTACTTCATGGACTTATTCCTTTTAAGTCATATCTTGTAGGTAATTAGTAATCACATACGATATATTTAATAAAATAAAAAAATCCAAACCAAGAATGGTTTCATAATCAAAATTTCAAATGCATTGATTGAGTCATATCTTGTAGGTAATTAGCAATCACATACGATATATTTAATAAAATAAAGAAATCCAAACCAAGAATGGTTTCATAATCAAAATTTCAAATGCATTGATTGTTTTAATCAACCCAAACTTTTAACAAGTTCTATTTTTGATACTTACAGATATACATATTGTGAGCTGACAATACCATATTCTTTACATAGAAAAAATGTCATCATATAATCAAATCACAATGACTCCCATTAATTCAATGAATAAGAAGCACAATAATAAATGGAGTCACAACGAAATTAGCTATTATCTGTATTCATGCCAAATGTGATAAATACTATTGTTCTTAAACTTCTATGATGTCACTTTAATATCGCTCACAAAATTACAAACATATTATGAACAAAAGTTTTTATATTTATATATTCATTCAATTCAAAACTCTTAAAGTTTCATCACGAAAATATTTTCAACAAATTTGAAATTTATTGAATTATCAATTTTGTTAGTTTAAAATGTGCCTAAATCAATAGTCTATGAACTCGTATTGACCTTAACACATATGATATCTTCAAAATATTAACTTTAAGATATTTATGAGTTCTTACCATTTTGAAAATCCTGTGTAGAATAACTCTTGTTAATTTTCACTTCCTTTAAAAAAATAGTTTTTGACTTAACAAAATACAACAAAGTCAAAACCTTTATAAAGTATTTTTTCTTGGTAACTTTCAAGAATAAACTCAATATATAATTCAAAATAAAAGAAGTGAAATGATAAAATACTATAAAATTCTTGTTCTCTCTCAAAAGCAAATTAACAAAATTCAGAAAAGATCATTAAGGAAGGAATTGAACCAATAAAAACAAAATAAGTAATTTACTTTTTTACACAAAATTCATTTTTAAAACTCTTATACGTGTAATAAATGTAAAATAATATTTTTGCCTTTACGTGTGAGTTCCTTAAAAGAAAATATTCAATTTTTTTAAAAAAAATGCATTATTAACAAATAACAACAATGTCTTTAAAAATTGATAACAGTTAGGTTTGATAATGTTAGCTAAGATAACTAACCTAATATTTTAATTGAAAGTTAAACAAAATAAATATTTGTTAAAACAAAATTATATTTTAACTTTCAATTTTATTTAAAATAAATTAAGATATTTTAACAAGTCTAAAATTTTTTTGTGTGAAAGTTAATTATGTTGGCTATCATAAGACATTATATAGCAAATGTGAGTAACAATTTATGTATTTACTATATTGTATAAAACATCCAAGAACTTATCACTAATAGTAGATATTAACTTATGATAACAATTATCTAATCATACTGAAATTGAAAATAAAAGCCAATAATGATCCAAACAGATAAAACTTTAATTAGTTAAACATATTTAATAGTCTTATCAATAATAACTAAGGTGTTTTATAACAATTTTAATCTTGGATATTCTTTTAAAGAAAACTTCATACCTTCATGTGATCACATATTAAAAAAATACAAAGACTTTCACAAATATATACCCTTTCGACAGATAAATTCTCTAGGTCTATGTATTTTTCCATTTCACAAATATAGTTCACAATTACCTCTAAATTAAAACATATAATCAACCTCTTTTGGTAGGTAATCACATGTAATAACTTAGAGACAATCTCACAACAGCATAAAAAATTTTATAATCATTATGACTCTATTGATTTTCTTATGTTTACTTATACATATGATTACTTTAAGAAAAATACTAATATAAATATACCTCTGTGGATCATTAAAAGTTAAAATTTAGAATGTCTAATACCATTTTATACACTTTAAACAATTTTCAAGTCATTTTTCATAATCATGCTATCAATCAATATAAATGCTTTAGCATGCCTACTATTAAGTAAATTGTCGCAACAATTAATAATGCTTTTATTATGGCATTTCAATTCAAATATAACTACAAAAAATTTTAAAATTAAAAAATTGACTAGCCACAAAAAAAATCTATCTATGCAAATAATTTATACTTACATGAGATTTTAAAAAAATTCATAATGTTCATGCCATAAATCTCAACATAATAATATATGAATGTCAATAATACATTTTTTTTAAACAAATATATACACACAATGATTATGATATAAA